AGTCTGATTTCCAAAACAGTGATAACCAAAGCCTGCCTCTTCCTAACCTAAGAAAAGGGTCAGCAGGAGTGCCAGCCTCTAAGACCTTCCCTGCAGGGCCAATTTGCCATCTTTCTAGGAGATCAATCAGTTCAGTCACTCAGTCATGTCTGACTATGATCTGGTGGACTGCAGCATGCCAGGCTTCCCTGTTCTATGTTCTAGGAGATAAAGACACCGTTTTGCCTATCCACCTGTTCTGGGCAAGATAACACTCAGCTCCAAAATAGGAGGAACTGATAGCTCCTCTAAAAAGGCCAGAAATTCAGTTCTCTTTCAATGTTCTTATAGCTATCAGGAAATATCTGTTTCCTTCTATCAAGAGAGACAAAAACTAAGACTCAGTAGTAAACTGAGATATGGAGGAAATAAGTTTATTAAGGGTATCTCTGCTGTTCCTGTGCTAGGTTATTTGAAGTAGCTCATGTAGTATTTTGGTCATCTGATGTGCACAGACGACTCATTGGAAAAGTCCCTGATGCCGGGAAAGATCGAGGGCAAAAGGAAAAGAGGGCATCAGAGTATGAGATGGCTGGATGGCATCAGTGATGCAAAGAACATGAACTTGGGCAAACTCCGAGAGATGGTGAGGGACAGGGAGGCCTGGCATGCTGCAGTCCATGGGGTCACAAAGAGTCAGACATGACTGGGCAACTGAGCAACAACAACAACATGTAGCCAGTCAGTGCCTCAGTTTCTTCATACAAAAGGAGAAATGAAAAGCAGAGAGCTGAAGATGAGGAGACAACAGACTGGATTAATGAATGGCTCTCAACAAAGGCCATCTCCAGGTCCACTAAGGGTCAGGGGCAAATTCATTGTGCTCTACCTCAATTGCATTGGCCCAAACAACACTGGGGAAGAAATAGAAAGAGAAGCTGAGATAGACAGCAGGACCCAGTGCTCACCCCTGCTTGGAGATCTGACACAGAGGCCAACCCAAACACCCCCAAAGCCATATCACTCTCTGGCTTGTGAATTGCCTCCACTGACACTGCACTTTCTGCTGTTGAGTCTCTCAGCATGGGTGTCTGAAACCAGAATGTGTCCTTAGCCGTATGCAAAGGGGACTTCTCAGTTTTTCATCCATTCTTAAGTCTGACTGCTTTCTTCTCTGTGATCTCAGCTTCTCCTTGGCAGACTGGGTCTTTAGGGGATGGGAAATATTGGAGGAGAGAAATATTATCCAGTCTCCAGGACCATCCAGAAACTGTTTCCTAAACTAAAGAGGCCAGATTCCTCTGCAAACATGTTCACCAGCAGGGCCAGGCCTGAGAGGCCAGCACAGAGCACCTGAGCACCTGTTATCAGGACACTGTCATTTTTTCCCTTCTTCTCTAGAAATGTTTCCATTTAGTATACAAAGTCACTTAACGTTGTACTGTCCATGCTCATAACACAAAAATTGCTGGAATGAACAAGTGTTTATAACTACAAACGATGGACCATGTCAGTCCCTGTGGGAAATGCAGTTGAATAAAAAATATAGTCCTTAACTACCTGTGGTGCTGGAGAAGACTCTGGGGAGTCCTTTGAACTGCAAGGAGATCAAACCAGTCAATGCTAAAGGAAGTCAACCCTGACTATTCATTGGAAGGACTGATGCTGCAGCTGAAACGCCAATATTTTGGCCACCTGATGCGAAGAGCCAACTCACTGGAAAAGACCCTGATGCTGGGAAAGATAGAAGGCAAAAGGAGAAGGGGGCGGCAGGGGATGGGATGTTTAGACAGCATCACTGATCCAATGGACATGAATTTGAGCAAACTCTGGAAGATAGTGGAGGACAGAGGAGATGAGACTGGCATGCTGCAGTCCATTGGGTCACAGAGTCAGACATGACTTAGCGACTGAACAACAATAACAACAAACTACTAGGAGCTTACTACAAATATCAGCTCAGCTCAGAGATCATTTACTCCAACCAGCTTATTTACAAAATAAGAGAGCTGAAGTCCAGAGAAGTGATGTTTGTGGCACAATCCAGACTAGAAACAAGACACATTGGCTTCTGTTGAGGTCACACTCACCTACATGACACAACAATGTGGGCATAAAACAAAGTTTCAAACAATTAGAGTTGGTTCTCTAGACTGAGGATATTATAGGACCATAGACTAGGAACAAATTTCAAAAGACAATGAAAATTTGGAGTCAGGGAAGTCTTCCTTGGAGAACATGGGACAAAATGGGGAGGGGAGGGGGGATCAAACAGTCAGGAAAATAAGACTTTTTGATTCAGCCAAGATTCCACAAATCCTTATTGGGCTCCTACCCTGTGGCTGGACTATTCAATGCCCTGGAAATATATAGCATTGAACATAATTTTCAGGTTCCTGCTTTCATGGAGCTTGTTTGTAGGAAGATCAGCTAAGCTGGAGTAGACAGAAAGGTTCCCAAGATACAGGGAGGCAAAGTAGCAGCCTGTTTCATAGAGCTCTATTCACTCCTTTGAGTGAATAGAAGTGTCCAACAGAAGGTCTCTAGAGAGAACTGTCTAGAAACAGCAAAAGTGGAAGTTGTCACTTATAATGGCTATTCAAGGAAGCTTGTTTTAAAACATTATTTGCCATCTTATTTACAGACATTAGAAATACAAAGAGTGGTCCTTTGAACTTTATTTTCTCTTCCATTCAATCCGCATTTGCTAATAACCTCCTACATGCAAAGTGCTTGGTTCTTAAATGAAGCTGATAACAAAGGAGAGAGAAGGAGGGATAGAATGTATGGTTATCAAGCTCTATTGAGAGTTTTTTAATATAAAGTGTAAAGGAGAAAAAAGAAAAGGTTGAATGATGAGTCCATTATCAGGCAATTTGGGGATAGTGGATATCTGCTGCTCAGATTTTACTCTGAGCTCCAGACCCATATACCCAACAATCATTCAGTATCTCTATCTGGAACTCTCAAAGACACCTCAAACCCAAAACATCTTAGACCAACATCATGATCATCACTGCCCTCTTGCTTGGCCTTTATCCCAGTGCGTAACTCTAACATCTAGATAGCTGCATCACATAGAAGAAAAAAAGTGCACACCTTTGACACCCTCTGCTCTCACCAGCCAAACCCAATCCATCACCAAGTCTTTATCTCCAAGCTACATCACATCCTAATCAATTCTCACTGGGCCAGGCTTAAAATAACTTTTCATTTTAAAATATTTCTGTTCTGAATTCCCACTATTGATAATAGCCCTTCCTTTTATTCACTTCCCCATCAATCCACCCCCCAATCTAATCTTATCACATCATCCTCTTAAACATTTTTCCATGGCTTCCCAAAGTACTTGAGCTTGTCTGGTATCTGCCCCTCTCTCCAACCTCAGTTTACACCATATTGAGAAGCCATTATTCACTGATTAGTGTAGAAGTCTGATGAATAGCTTTCTCTCCCACTAGGCTGAAAGTTCTGTGAACACAGAGTCTAGGTCTGTTTTTACCCACTACTATTTTCACAGCACCGAAGTGCATGACACATACAATATGATCAATAAATATTTGTGCATTGAATGTTTTTTTTAATTATTTTTTTATTGAAGGATAACTGCTTTACAGAATTTTGTTGTTTTCTGTCAAACCTCGACATGAATCAGCCACAGGTATACACATATCCCCTCCCTTTTGAAACTCCCTCCCATCTCCCTCCCCATCCCACCCCTCTCGGTTGATATAGAGCCCCTGTTTGAGTTTCCTGAGCCACACAGCAAATTCCCGTTGGCTATCTATTTACACATGGTAATGTAAGCTTCCATGTTACTCTCTCCATACATCTCACCCTCTCCTCCCCTCTCTCCATGTCCATAAGTCTATTCTCTATGTCTGTTTCTCCATTGCTGCACATGCACATATTTGTGCGTTGAATTTTGTTTAGTGGCTGAGTCAATGGTTCTCAATCAGCAGTGGTTTTTGGCCCTCTCCCCCCGGGGAATATTTGGAAACATTTTTGGTTGTCACAGCTATAGGATCTCTACTTGCATCTAATTGGTACAGGCTAGGAATGCTGCCAAAGGTTACACAGCACACAAGACAGTGTGAAAATCAGTCAAAGAAAACCCCAACTGAGATTGGAGTTGAAAGGACCCATAGGGGGAGCTCTCACACCCTATCACTTATGCAAATACCCCCAAAAAGGAAGATATTAGTTACTGACCTCAACAGGAAGACACCAGGTACTAACCCCATCAGGAAGTGCCACTTACTCTACTACCCCAACAGGAGGATGGAAGACTTCCATCGCCCAGCAACAAGCCCAGACAATGAAAAGGGCCTCAGCTTAGCCAGTGAGAAGCCTTCATCACCTGAACTTTCACTTTTCTCCAGTGAACCCTCATTATGTCCTTACTGATGACTTCCATTCCTTGTCCCGCTCTCCCTACTATGAAAGCCTTCCATGTGGTGTAGGCCTTGCAGTGTCTCTCTGTCCACCAGGTGAGATGCTGCCTGATGCTAATTAGATCTTCAAATCTACTCAGTGAAATTTTGTTTGTTAGTAACGATAGTCCCACATGTTTAGCCCACAGTCTCAGCAGTGCTCGGGTTAAGAAAATTTGATTTAGATGAAAGAGAAAGAATATTTATGTTTTAGTCATATTGAATTGGATTTCCTAGAGTCAAGTCCTTACAGACAAACATTTGTCATTTCCCAACGCCATAAGAGAGACTTAAATGTGATGCATATACACACCAACTATTAAATTTCCTACAGGCAGGAGATAGCTCTTTTAATGCCTCTTGTACTCTCCAGGTGCCCAACACAGGGCTGGAATTTAGGTACACCTATCTGGAAAACCTCATTTATCATTAAAAAAAAAAAAAAAAGACTACAACATTGAGGGTAGCCTTGAGCTGCATTAGAGGGATCAGCTAATTTCACATATATTACCTAAGTGTAACAAAGCCTAGTGACGTCACAATGGAGCCCTGCCCATCTGCTAAGCCCCGCCCTCTTCACAGTCATAATGGCTAAGGCCTTAAATACCCAGACTCTGGCCCCTGAGTCCTGCAAAGCCCCTCATCTTGGCCGAAAGTACAATGTCGACCAGCCGCAAATTAAAGAGTCAGGGCATGAGGAGGGGCAAGAACAGAACTCCTCACAAGGGAGTCAAGAGAGGTGGCAGCAAAAGAAAACACCGGAAGAGCAGCCTGAAGAGTAGAAAACGGTGTGATGATGGTGAGTGAGGGATGAGTGGGAGAGCAGTCAAGCGGNAGCACAGCCCCATCAGAGTGCCAGTTATGAGCCAAAGGTGGCAAGCTGGTTTTGTCAAGAAGCTTAAAACCATGATCTCCTAAATTCAAACCATGAGATAAACTTTCTCCCTCAGTGCTTCTAATTGTGGGCATGATCAGCAGGTGTTTAAAGATGGGGACACATTCTAGGCAGAGGACAACGTGGGTCTGAGATGGGCTAAGTTGGGTTTTAAATGGACAAGATCGGAGGTAGTATGGCAAGGAAGATTAAATTCAAGACAGATGGTGTGACTCTGATGTCATAAATGAAACTCAGTCTGGGTGGACCTTACTCGCAAGGAAGAACCGTCCTTCACTGTCACCCCCACTTTACCTTGACTTTGGGTTCATCTCCGGCCGGGGATCTGACACCTCCTCTCAGCATCCACTGCTCAGGAGGGGGCAATATTTTTCTTAATGAGTGCTTCCTGTTGCCTCTGAGGCAGTACCAGGGCAGCACAGAGAGGAACTGAGACTCATTAAACCAAGCCACCCACAGAACCAAGCCACCCACCTGGATTCTGGGGAAGCAACCAGGAGAGGATATAAGCCGGAAGGAATGAGAGGAGCATGAGGTCATTCATGAAGTTTCCTACATGGATCGGGGCGAGGGGCGGGGTGCTATGAGATGAGGGACCAGGCCAGGGGACAAAGAAGAGAAAAAGAGAGCCTCTTTTTCTGCAGAGCTCCACACATTTTCAATGAGACCATTGACTTAGAGCCACATAGAGGTGTAGGTACTGGGATGTGGGGATGGGAATAAGTACTGCACCTGTGGGTCAGATTCTAGCAGTGTAGCAGGAAAGGATGAGAAAAACCTAAGTCAGAACAAGAGTAAAGATGCTCCAGGTTGCCCTGCCTTTCCTCCTAGCCCTAGAGAATGCTCACACTGCTCCTGAACTAAGTCAGCATCAGGCACCCAGACTCTTCAAAACTCATTAAACTTGTGTTTCCTTCCAAATGTTTTCAGTTTCCATTTTTGTAAAGAGGGAATAGAAAAAATACTCCCTTCACAACCCTCTTCTTCTACAGTTTTATCTCTTAAATATTCCTTTGTCCCTGTTTTTCGAACCAGACTCAGACTCAGATGATTCCCAAATAGATGTTTGTCCACGGCGTGACCCCACAAAGCTCAGCTGAAATCCCTAATCAGAACTGAGCAGTTCTCACATTCTCTTGGGTCCTTTGGGAGCTCCTCTGCCTCCATGTAAAGAAAGCCAAAAGCTCCTTGAAAACACACAAAATCCAGTTATTTTAATGTCAAGCTTTTGCTGCTCTGGCAATAAATTCTTCTCATTCATCAGCCATCAGGGAGTGCAGCCAGTTAGAATTCCCACATGGGGCCGAAATAGCGAAGCCTTTATATCCCCGCCTGCCCAGCAGGCTGCTCAGGAAAGAGTGACCTCAGGCCAGGAATTCCTCTGTGCCGAGGCAGACCCTGAAGTCAGGAGGCTGTTTGTGGGACCTCATGCAACACAGTCGGGACTGCACATCTTTTGTTTCTTCCGCTGGCTTTCTGATAACCTGCCCCACCTTCTTCTCCCCACCTTTTGCCCATGCCACTGCCTGCTCAGACTGTGTCCTGGGAGCCTTCAAATGCTTTCATGCACAGCTCAGCCCTCGCTCCGTGCTCCCCACTTTGCCTTTTCTCTGCCATCTTTCTGATTTCCAAGCTGTGCAAAGACAACCTAGGGAAGAGTCAATAGCACAACGAAGCAGTGTGAAATGTGCTTCCCTCAAGAAACTTATTATTTCTTATACAGGAATATTATTTCCCATGTTAACCATGGAGATATTATTCCCAGGTCCATCAGGATCCCTTCAGGAAAGCAGATCCTGGAAGGAACTCAAATGAAGAGACTTCACTCAAATGAAGAGGATTCACAGAGACAAGACCTCTAGAGCCTGGCAATGATGTCTCCGCAGAGGCCAAGGGGTGGAACAGTGTTGCAGGAGCCCTGTGAGATTCAAAGCTGTGTATTTGGTCAAGGGGGTGGCAGATGGACCTCTGGGTAAAGACAGTACTGGGAAGGGGCACAGCCACTGCTCATCTCAGTGGTACCCTAACGTTTCTCTTCCTCAACCAAAAGGCAGCAGGTTAAGGACCCCACATGATGCAGGCCATCCAGGGGCAGAGGATGCTGAAGAATAGCTCTGAAAAACCAACGGTAACAGCTGGCACAGCCTGGGATGCAAAATCTCTTCATTAGACCTCTAATAGCCTGTCACCTTAACATCCCATTTGTCTTCTCTCATTTCTTGTCACAAAGGCCCTTCAGAAGTGACCAGTAGAGAGACCCTCAAACCACGTTGCTCAGGTGTCCTGCACCCTCGACTCAAAAGCATGTGTTCAGGATTTCCCTGGTGGTTCAGCGGTTAAGAATCTGCCTGCCAATGCAGGTGACACAGGTTCGACCCCTGACCTGGGAAGATTCCACATGCCGCGGGGCAACAAGACCCACGCACCTCAACTACTGAGCCCATGAGCCGCATCCACTGAAGCCTGAAGCTCGAGGGCTCTAGAGTCCATGAGTTCACAACTCCTGAGTTCATGAGTTCAGCTCTAGAGCTCACAACAAGAGAAGCCAACACAGTGCAAAGTCCATGCCCCCCAAGTAGAGAGTAGTCCCCACTTGCCGCCACTAGAGAAAGCCTGCAAGCAACAACGAAGACCAGCCTAGCCAAAAAATAGATTTTTTTAAAAAAAATTTTTTTTTTTAAAAAGCATGTGCTCATGTCATTGGCAGGACAGTATAATTCCCACACAAAATGTTCTAAGACAATGTTAACTGGTGATTAGGACAGGCAGGCAGAACTCAACAGCTCGAGGCTGGTCAGGGCGGCTAGACCCTCGCCTGGTGACTTCTCTGTGCCCTCTTAGACAGGTGCGGAAGGATTGGCAGCCACCCGGAAAACTCTGTTTTGCAGCAAGAACATTTTCCAGGCCCGCAGGCTGGACGTTTTCCAGCTCTGGTGTTGACTTGGTCGCTGCCCTCCAGGAACGTTCATTCTGGCTGCCTGCTGACAGCTCCCGTCGGCCCAGCCCCCACGAGGCAGGCGCCCAGAGGGGACGGGCACAGGGGGCTTGTGACACCCCAAGACCTCACCCCCTGTCTGCTTTTTCTCCGTCTCCCTCACCGACGGAAATTTGTTCCTCTCTCCAGTTTTCTCTGGAACGCCATGTCCTTAGGTCATCACTTAACGCAGCCTTTTTGGAAAGTCAAAAATTAAAAAAGTTTAAAAAAAAAAAAATTAAAGATTTGACCACAAGCCCTGTGGGTCAGCTTGACCTTCTGGTGAGCTAACTTGGATTCGGGGCCTCGGCTCCACTGGTGTCGGGGTCTTGCGGGAGTGGTCCCCGAGGTTGTGTGTGTGGGTGGAGAGAGCCCAGAGGAGCTAGGGGAGAACGGGGCTGACTCCCACCTCTCTCCTCGGGCCTGGCCAGATCACCCCGGCTGGGGCCGGCTGGGTCTGTGCACCACAGGCAAACAGGAAGTTCTGGAGAACTGCTCAGGGCCATGTGAGGAAATGAAGGCCCAGCAGCTGCAGCTGGAAGGGGACTCTCAGCGCCCCGGGGTAGTCGCTGCAAGTCAGACAACAAGGCCTGGGGCTCAGCTGTCAGGGTCAGCCAGAGGACGGCACAGCCTGGCTCTGCAATCTGAGCCTTCATGCACCAGGCCCTCCCAGGGGAAGAACCAAACCTCTAGGAGTACCAGGTCCTGGTCACCAGGCCTGTCCACCTCACAGGCTGATGTGTGAGGAAGCTGGTTGTTGAGCTTCAAGAGAACCTCTCTTCACTTCCGGGTCCCCAAGCTGCCCTCCCTCTCCAGCCATCCCTCAGTCCCAGCGTGAGGCTTCTCCCTGACTTGAGCCCAGCAGCCATACCTGCCCTCAGCTCAGGGTCCCAGAAGTGGTCAAGTGACAACTCTCTCCACAAAGCACAGCCCCGGGGGAAGGTTCAGGACTGAATCCTGACAAGTCCAGGTTCTGTCAGCTCTAACTCCTCCCACATTGTGATCTTGATCCATCTCTCAGTCCTGCCTTATTTCAAGCCTTTGTATCCATCTGCTCCTGCTGCTGGGGCCATCTCATCTCTTCCTCAGGCCCAGCTTTACCATTGCTGGAACCAAGCCTGACCTCAGGGACCAAGCCTACCCAGGCCTCTCTGGGCAGCTTGTGGGTAGGCTAAAGCAGATGGGCAATAATTCTACCAGCCAGGTGATCTTAGGTAGATTTTCCATCTTCCTTATTTATAAAACATCAGACATAATATTAACCATACAGGAAGCTTGTCAGAATATAAAATACTGTAAGCTATAGACCTTGAATTGAGTTGGCCACACACACCTCTCTCCCTTTCTACTGGCCTTTTAAACATCATTGTGTCATCTGGCCCAGCTCATGACCCTGCTTCCTGCCTTAGTCTCTGGATATCATACCTGCGGATTCCCAAGTACCCCTCGCTCCCCAGAGAGTTCTGGATTCCCATCGTGACCTAGGGCCTCCAATCTCTTCCATCCCTTTGCACAGGTCAGGCCTTGAGATCAGGAAGTGCTACATCTCCCTGTGGCTTATTTTGTTCTCCCATAAAATAAAGGCATTGAGGATGATCTTATCTCTCCAATGAGACTGTGAACTCCTGGGAGCAGGAGCCAAGTCATCCCCAAGTGAGGGGCAAAAGGATCCCATCAGGATACACCAGCCCTTGTTTCTTGTGAAACAAATCAATGAATCCAACTCCTAATACAATATGTTGTGAAAAATAAAATCTGAGCAAGGATGTCAATGAAAAGGACTGAAGATGGATTAATAAACTCACTGATTACAATCATGTTTATTTTTTCCATTAACAGCAAGCAAGTATCTCTGTAATTAACCAGTTATAAAGTCTTAGGTCTAACATGCAGGTGGTTTTTATCGAAAAGACATACAAAGAACTTGTCTTTCACAATTTGCAGGGACCA